TCATACTTTGTACATTCCACATTCTGCTTATTAATGGATGTTTGCAGCTGTTTCTTCTCATTTTGGATCATGCCACGTTAGTACAAGTAAATGAACAAACAACATCATCCTAATCGTCCTAGAGGCAGTAGTGCTACACAGTCAGCAGAATTGTTTGGTAGCTGGTAGCTGGGGCTATTTCACGCAGAGCAAGTGCTGTCAAACTCACATCTTTGCCATTTAAAACACAACAAATGCTCTAAGTTAGCTAAAATCCCCATTTAATGGAGAGGGAAATTGAGGCTGAGAGAGGTTAAGGAAGTTGCTCAAGGTCACACAGCTAGTGAATGAGAAAGCAGGAATTCAAACCTAAGTCAGAGGACTCCAAGAAATTGTGCGTTGTTCATCACACCACACTACTTCTCTCCGGGGCCAGCGACCATCCCTTTTAGCCAGGAGGAGGGAGGGAGAAAGGAGAGGTCAGGGCTGTGAGGTCTGGGCAGCGCCCCCTGCTCTGTGACCATTACAATATGTCCAAGAGGCCTCCAAACAGCCAAGGACTCTGCAGTGGCCTCGCTCCCTCTTTCCCTAATGGAGACATTGATCTTCCGCCCCATTCCCTCCCATTCCGGACAGCTGACACTGTGGGCTCTCAGCTGGCCTCCACTTGCACCTCCTGAGCTTCCTCCAACAAAAAGACATAAACCAAGGTTGTGTCAAATGAGTGAGCTGGTGCTCTCACTCCCTTGCCCTTTCTTTTCCTCTCTTTTCCTTCTTTCTCTTTTCCTTCTTCTCCCTTCTGCCTTCTCCCTCCCTCCTCCTCTCCTTCCCTCTGTCCTCTCTATTGCCCTCCCTCTTCCTCCTACATGCTCTGACAAGGAAAGGACCTATTAATCTTGCCACTGTCACCCACCACCGCCAGGCCACATGAGCTGCATGCTGATCCGCAGGCACAGGCATCCCTGCCAGGACTGCCTAAGCGGTCCCTGGAAACCACGGCTAATTGGTAAAAGATCGTATTCCTTCTTCCACAGCCTGAACAATCCAAAGGGAGCTCTTTCAAGATAAACCAAGATTTCCATGCTGATGCATCAGTCACCCGCGGAGACCGCTGGGGCTATCTGTTACCCAGAGGGTGGCATTCAGACCTGCTGCTTCTACCTGGACACGTGGGCTGGATGGTGAGCATCCCTGCCCCCACCCACACCACCCACAAACTGCAGAGGGTTTGAGAGTATTTGATAAATATGCTGCAGGCTTACATGCGTATTGACGCCTGGTATATTCATTCATTCAACAGATATTTATTGAGTACTGACTATGCACCAGGCACTGTTACAGGCACTGGGGATACAGCAGTGAACAAAACAGTCAAAATCCTGTGCTCAGGGAGTTAACATTCTAGTGGGAAGAGGCAGACAGTAAACATATACTGTGTCAGGTGGTGATAAGTGCTGTTGAAGACAAATGGAGCAGAGTAGATGGCGCACAGAGTGAAGAGGGGAACAATTTTCTATAAAAGGAGATCATGCAGGTCTTTTACTGACGGAGTGCATACGTTACATCTGTGATTCCTTTATGCAAGTGACATGCTCCGGAAAAGTTAAGTATCAATGAGATTTTTGCATATTAAATTGCATTTTAAATTAAAATAGGCAAAGCTTGCTGATTAACATGCAGCAAATCTCTAAACCTCAGTTTCCTCATAAGAAAAATCGGTTTCATAATTCTCTCTCCAGTTAGCTTACAGGGCCACTGAGACTCATGGATTGAAATTATAATTCTGTGGGTGTACTTTGTAACCTGCAAAACAATTTACTACATCAAAATAATGTTGTTGTTAAAATGAAGACGTAGACGGCAAAGTAAATTACTAGCTCCAAACAAAAATTCTGTGATAATTCAAATATTCAGTTGGCTAGAATGAATATTACACTTATATGTTTTCTGGATCTGGGCAGGCAGGGATGGCGTCTTACTAAGTCTTCTGAGGCTTGGGGAGCACTTTGTGGTTGTTATTGACAGTTAAGAGAATCCTGTCTGAGGATGTCTATTATAATCTTAATTTTGGGGCACCAGTTAAAATCAAGGCCGCAGCCGATCTTCCTCCTGATCAATCTGAAATAAGAGTGTGGGAATGAAAGAAAAACTCCACCAGCCTCCTTAGATGTGGCTTCTTGCATCTTGTAATGTTCTCTGCCTCAAACACTTGGGGAATTAAAGGACCAGACAGATAAGTGTAGGTGGGTTCCTCACCCAAGGGAGACGTTGCTTGTTTCATAGAGCTTCTCTTTTTGTACAGAGCATTTTGAGGCAAAATGGAATGATTGCTGCTTGGAAGGGAATTCATTTTACTCAAATGACATCGTCAAATAGCAAGCAAGATTTATGGCCTGGATCTCCGGGAAAGTGCTCGGTGGCAATCAGATGCCTGTGTTCCCACCCACCTGGGACCGTCTGCAGGTGCAGTCGCAGCTGAACTGAAGAATATATGACAAGGGCAACGGGGGATGTGGTTTATAGTCATTTTTCTGATGCTGTTCATGGAGGTTGAGACTATAGTTGGGGTGGGCAGCAGGGTGCAAGATAAGTAGCAAATGTGTCCTCATGAGGTATCTCAAAGGCCTCGAAACATAGCTTTTCCTCTCAGAGAGAAAGATCGATATCAACTCATTATTCGATACATCTTACTCAGTGCCTACTCTGGGAAAGTCATCCTGGTAGGTACTACGGAGGACCCCGCAAAGGGTTTCTGCCATAGGCCAGAAGCTCTCATTTTAGGTGGAAAGATAAGACATCTGCAGATAATGGTCAGCATCCAAGAGAGAGATAGGAGGTGGGAGACATTAACGCTGTCCAGTCTTCTGCCTGGACCGAGTCACTTAAATTACGTTGTCTCATTTAGTCCTCATCACCATAAGGCAATGGTGTTATTCCCATTTCATGGATGAGGATACTGAGAGCAGAGTGGTCAAATGACTTGCTCAAGCTCACACAGCTGGTAAGCGGCAATAAAGTGTTAGTTTTCAGTCTGCTTACCTCTGATGGGGCCAGAATCAAAGTGGACTTTTAAAATTGACCTCCCTATTGATTTTGTCAGGAATAAGCACCAATTTTAGAGAAACAAGACAACATTTGGCTGTATTTCCTTTCACTCATCTCACTTAAGGGGGGGGGGCTGAGGAACCACTAGCTCTCGATTTGAAGCTTTAATGTCCTTTTTTGTTGTTCAACTATATTTCTAAACAAATCACTGTTGTCCATTTTCATTTGCATTGCCAGATCTCCTTTTTCATGGTGAAATACTCCCTTCCCCCACTGACATCTTCCCACATTCTCCTAGCTTCTCTCTCTCTCTCTCTTTCCCTCCCCTCACACACACATATCCAGACACACACCTTCCCACCACACACCCATATGCAAAATAAAATTAGAAATACCGCCCAACTCTCAACGTATTTAGGGAACGGAGATCTTCAATCAGTATAGCCAAAACCAAAGCACTCCAGGCTCCCTCCCTCCCAAGCCAGTGTAAGGAGCTGGCAGAGCTTGTGAAAAGGGCTGAGACAGCCATGATCTTGACAAAAAGCTGCTCTGAAGGGGAAAAGGCCATTGGTGCTTCCCTGGGTCTGCCCTGTGACCACTGGAACTCAGAGCTACTGGAGGCAAACACCTGGCATGCTGTTCTTTTGCTTAAATGTGAGTCCCTTTCAGAACACGAAAAGGTTTCCTGGCCCCTTTTTTGTTTTGTTGCATACTGCTAAAACGCAGAGAAAACAGTGTCTGGATTCAAAAAGAGACTGAGCTGATAAGCATATGGCCCTCACATCCAGGGATTGCTCCTGCATTAATCAACTGGTTGAGAAAGCAATAAACAATTGTTTATTTATTATGTTTGCATTCACCAAGAGGAGTGGAAAAGAGCAAGTGGGTGAGCTATGACAGCCCAGGAAACCGAGGACGATGGTGGCACCAATATTTCTGCAGTGCTGCTAAGGTGGTCTCTGCCTGTCCCCATTCCACACTAGCTGGTGTCACCACCTTCTTGGTGGTACCCACCTCAGAATAGTAGAGTCAGGGAAGGAGAAGGGAATAGGAACAAGGAGATGGGAGTGAAGCTCCAGGCAGAAGCTCCTGGTCTGTGTCTGGATAAACTCCTTTCTCCCAAATCAGAGCTCCTTCTGGGTCTCAGGGTGAAGCTGGGTTGCATACAAACTGAGTGCAGGAGCACTCGTGCTAGAACTGAGTTCAAATCCAGGCTCTATCACCCACCTACTGGATGACCTTAGGTACGTAACTTAGCCCTTCTGAGCCTCGACCTCCTCATCTGCAGAATGGGGATCCTGGAGCTTCCTAGATCATGTTGACAGGATAGACGAAGCTGTCTTGTGCTAAAAGCACAGTGCTTGGTACACAGTAAGGGCCTAATAAATAGTGTCAGTAATTATGAACTAATAGCCAAATAGCATTTACCATGTGCAGGCTCTATTTAAGGGCTTTCCATACATTGTCTTAATCCTCACTTCTTTACTTCTCAGACGAGGAAAGTGTAATCCAAGATCACACAGTAGAGAATGGTGGCCATTCAAACCCACGAAGCCAGGCTCCAGGGTTCAGATCTGAACCCCTCTGTGCACAGCCCTTCTGAGGAGATGGCAATGGTCTGTATGCATGTTGCCCCTGGTGAGCTGAGCTCTCAAACCTCCATGTCTCCTTCGGTCAGAGGGTCAGAGCCGTCAGAGTCAGAGCGAGAGCAGGAGGGTTGCTGGTCGTAGAGGGGAGGGAAAGCGACGAGGATGGCTAGAGCAGCCACATCAGGGCTGAATCTCCCAGTTGGAACCAGCAGCTGGAGTCAGGCAGGGCGCCCCCAGCCCACTCCAGAGGGACCAAGAACGGGGGTGGGGTGGGGTGAGGCGGGAGGTGGAACAAGAGGGGTGACCAGAGCGCCGCCCCCAGGAGGGAAGGGAGGGGAGGCAGAGCTGGGGGTGCCCAGCTGCTATCCCCGCCGCCTCCTGGTCCCCACTCGCTGGCGCCCGAGTGGGAGGACGGCAGCTGCCCGCTCCCTCCTCCCCACACCCCGGCTACCTGCCCAGTCCCCGAAGCGAAGCGTGAGGAGGCAGCGAGCCAGCCGGGCCGAGCCCATAACTTTGCGGCCTCGAAGAGGACGAGTGCCGACGTCCAGAGCTCCTCTTGTCGGCGACCGGAGCTCGGTGAGTTCATTTCCCTAGTCCTCTGCGGCGATGCGGCGGGGGCAACCGGCGGGCGGCTTCCCGGGCGCCCAGGAGGCGGTGGCCCAGCAGCCGGCAGCCGCCGGCGCTGCTTGCCTCGCTAGGGCTCGGGCTGTGCCGCCCTCTGCCACCGGCGAGGCGGCGCCGGTGCTGAACGGACAGCTCCCCGCACCACGGGTCTGCAGGCGCCTAGGCGGCCTCGGCCATCCAAGCCCCGGCGCAGGCCCGCGGCTGCGACCGCCCGCCGAGCGCCCCTCACTCTCCCAGCCCCTGTGCTTTGCCTTCCCTACGCCGCGGCGCATCTGGAGGCAGTTCCTGCGTCCCCCTGGCGACTGGCGCGGGGAAGACACTTGCTTCTCCGGAGCCCGGGGCTACGGGCTCCCTGGGGTGGTCAGCACCGCTGCGGCCCCCGGTGGGCGCATAGCGAGGGCGGTGCTGAGTCTCCAGCAACCACCCCTGAGCGTGCTCTGCGCAGCGCCCCTGCTGCAGAGAGAAGCCCGCGCTCCCCACGGCGGCCGAGGGTCCCCGGAGGCGTAGGCACCTGCAAAGGGGACTCCAAGGTGATCAGCCGCCCAGTCCAGACGGGACGGCCTGAACCGAGGCACTGTGGCATCCGCCCACCCTGGGCGCAGCTGCCTTCCCAGAACTTTTCTCGCGCCTCTCCTTAGCCTCTGGAAAAGTTCTCTATGGCGCCCGGAATCCTATTTTCCGGGGGCTTCTGAAGCTGGGCAGCAGCCGGGGCTGTGGGCGACGGGGTGGGATGGGCATGCGGCGGGGGCTGCGCTCGGAGGCGGTGGCTCGATCCCGGGAAAGACTGGGCAAGCATCCATTCATGAGCCCAGGGCTGGCTTGTCGGCACCGAAAGGGTCTCGTCGTCATGGGGGTTGTTTGGGTTTCTCACGCCAGGAGGGCGGGAGGCAGACGCTAAAGAGGGATTTTAATTCCGTCGCCTCAAATGAAAACGCTTTTTGCAAAGAAATAGCCAGGACAGCCAGCGTCGGAGAGATGAGCCGACCAGGACCCGCTGATACAGGTATTCTGGTTGCGCCCGCCACCCCACCCCGTTCCTGAGCGCGTGTTTGAATGAATCGATTGTTTTAATCGATTTTTTAAAAGACAGGTGGCAGCGGCTGCGTGTGTGCGTGTGTGTACACAGACACATACACAGATATAAATACAGACAGATATCCAGGCGCACACAGATTACACGTACTGAGTCAGTCACGGAAACATACACACGCACCACGAGCTTACACGCACACATACCTCTAAAGACGGTACCCGTGAAGTCCCTGCGCTTTGTCCCTGTGTGTGTTGGGGAGCGGGCGGTGAAGTAGGACTTCCAGTCGGTCAAATTGTGCATTTCCCTTTGCTCTCCCCACCCCACCCCAAATCCTTGGCCTTCTCCTCCTAAGGGGATCTGAACGAGAAATCCCAAACTCAGGCTTGTTTCCACTGCCATAGAGAAGAGGAGCTCTCGGCCCCATCCTGCATCCCCTACTGAGCGCAAACTAGCAGCCCCCGCCGCCCTTGTGCCTGACCCCGGGACTCCAAGGAGCCGAGGTCGTGCAAAAACCGAGGGAGCTGGCACCCCGAGGTTGGGCCTGGCCCCCGGAGTCTGCTGTAGCTTCGAGCGTCTCACGCCTGCTTGCCACCCATTAGGGAAGCGGGAGGGGTGATTGGAGGGGGAGGGGTGAAGGCATGGATTGGCGCGGAGTCGGACCGACAGGCGTCGCCCAAGGAGCGCGCTAGGGCGCCCCCCTGGACGCCGCGGTAAGTCTCCCTCTCGCTCGGGGCCCGCAGGAATGTAATCGAGGATGCTGGCCCTTCGGCTGCTCAACGTGGTGGCCCCTGCCTACTTCCTGTGCATCGCCCTGGTGACCTTTGTGCTGCAGCTCTTCCTCTTCCTGCCCAGCATGCGCGAGGACCCTGCAGCCGCCCCGCTCTTCTCGCCCGCCCTGCTCCATGGGGCATTCTTTCTATTCCTCTCTGCCAACGCCCTGGGCAATTACGTCCTGGTCATCCAGAACTCCCCAGACGATCTGGGCGCCTGCCAGGGGACCTCAGCCAGGAGGGCGCCATGCCCCCCGCCCAGCACCCACTTCTGCCGAGTGTGCGCCAGGGTCACTCTGAGGCACGACCACCACTGTTTCTTCACGGGCAACTGCATCGGCAGCAGGAACATGCGCAACTTCGTCCTGTTCTGCCTCTACACCTCCCTCGCCTGCCTCTACTCCATGGTGGCCGGCGTGGCCTACATCTCCGCAGTCCTTTCCATCTCCTTCTCCCACCCCCTGGCCTTCCTCACGCTCCTGCCCACCTCCATCAGCCAGTTCTTCTCCGGTGAGTGGCCTTGACAGGCGGGTTGGGCCCTACTCAGAGTCCCTCACCCCCACCCCCAAAATTGCTAGATTTAACAAATCAGAACACAGGACACCCAGTTAAAATCGAATTTCAGATAAACAACACATAATTTTTCAGTGTATGTCCCATGCAGTATTTGGAACATCCGAACCCATTGCCACTGAGTGGATTCCAACTCATAATGACCCCATAGGACAGAGTAGAACTGCCCCATGGTGTTTCCAAGGCTGTAATCTTTACAGAAGCAGACTGCCACATCTTTCTTTCCCAGAGCAGGTCATGGATTCGAGTGGGTTCGAACTGCTGACCTTTCAGTTAGCAGCCAAGCTCTTAACCACTGCGCCACCAGGGCTTCTATTTGGGACATATTTATACTAAAAAAAGTATGCATTGTCTCTCTGAAATTCAAATTTAACTGGGTGTGCTATATTTTATCTGGTGAACATTTCCCCCACCCCACCTATCATCTACTCCTTGTTCTCTCCTATTTGCTCATAGAATTGTGGTGATCCAGGCAATACACCTGCTTTGTGCCAGGCAGGGCTGAGTGCAGGCCATGGCCCCATGCACCCCTGTGAGGTATGCCCATGCTATGACCCTCTTCTGCCTGAACCCAAATCCTGTTCGCACATTCCCCAAGGACTTCACTTTCCAAAGGTCTTGCCAACCACCACAGGAAGGCTGAACATGGTACCACCCCATCCCCAGCAGGAAGCTAAGCCTCACCTTCCTGCCCACTCCATTTGACCCCACCAAGTTCTCCAGCCTGCAGATGGCTCAGAGCAGGAAGCACTGTGGGTGAGCTGCAGCCGTCTTTAATGGTTCCATCTACACCCCAAAGAGCTGTAGAACTGGTGTGGGATCAGACCCTCCAGGAGGCTCTCAGACCTGCATGTGCCAGGCACATGAGCTGCCACACTGGTGCTCAGCTGGGTGTCCTGGTGAGGACTGCATTTTATGTAGCACGTCCCACGGAGTGATCTAGCCCTAGGGCACCCAGCTCCTGGTGGCAGTTCTTGTCACTTTACCTGGCCTTGAAATTTGCCCCATCTCATTTCCTTCCACTACCTCACCATCCTGGCCTTTGACTCTGACTGGCTTGGTGTCACAATAGGTAACGTGTGTATATGTGTGTAAGTGTGTGTAATTGTTACTCCCATTTCTCAGATGAGGAAACTGAGGTTCAGATGGAATTCAATGGCTTGCCCAGGATCATACTACTACTGAGTAGCAGCGTCTGCCCTGCTCCCAGGTTTTTAGACCACAGTCTGATGCTCTTCCTCAATAGCATAGGGAATACAACATATTCCCTCACTCACTGAGCTTTCGGGGACAAAGACAGACAGGGTGCAACCGCTTGCACTGAGACACCAAGATTATCTTGATGTGCCTGGGCTAGGCATTCATAAAAATTCTGCTCCACTATGGGGGAAGCCATCATTTTGGTCTTTGGTGGGGCTGGCATGACTTTCTGCAGGCCGGTTCTTCCCAGGCATGAATTCTCATGCCATGTGGCAGTGAGAACACAGGCACAGAGAGGACCTGCCTATGGGAGCTGCCTTAAGGGGTGGTGGCTGAGCTGGACCCAGAACTCAGAGCTCTCAGACCTTCTGGATCTGGGTGCTGGCAAAGAAGGCAGCTGGGACCAAAATAACCAGGACAGGGGAGTGTGGGTGGGTGGGCCAGAGGGTGGAGTGTGAGCACAGGCAGGTGGAGGGATGAGGGGAGCCAGAGAGCATGGTTAAACTTTCTTTTCCAAGTAGTCTCACCACACAAAAATGGGTGGTTGCAAAGAGAGGCTCTTAAAATGACTTGGTTCATGATAAGCCTGGGCCTGAGGCCTGTCTGTATGTGCCAAGTTTGGGGGACAGGAAAGAAAGGAAGAAGGACCTCTTGCTGATAAGAAAACAGCCAGTCTCTGGCTACCTTGGGGCCCAGAGCCCTGTCCAGCAGAATGAAGGAGTCCCATCTCAGTCTTCCTCCATTGCCAACATTTCCTCTTTGTCCTGGCCACCCTCCATCTCTCTCTCCCCATCCCCTCACATTCACCTCACCTGCTCAGTTCCCCCCACATCTCTCCTTCTCCAATCCAAATGGTTGAGAGCGCACCCCCTCTCACATGCCCAGGAGGACAGGTCGACAAGAGGGAGTAAGAAGTCACAAGTTGTTTAATAGAAATTGAGTGTCCCCAGTTCTAGTACTGCCCCTGAGTCAGATCAGCTGCCAACACCTGGAATGGCTATGAGTGTGGGCTCTGCAAGCTAGAAGTGGGAAGGAGTCTTCTAAAATGAAGGTGGCTGCTAACTATAGACCTTTGGCTGATGCCAAAGAGGTAGAGGACTGGCCAGCTAGGTTCTAGAAGCGTCTTCTCTTTTGACTTTGTGTGACCAGTATAGGTTGTATCACCTCTCTGAACCTCAATCTTCTCATCCGGAAAATGGAGATGATACCATCTGACCTGTGTCATGGCAGTTGGAAAAGTGCAGAGCATGGTGGGGACCACTGGAAGGTCCAGTGGGAGGGGAAGGGGACTAGCGTTTGATGAACATCTATTATATGCCACCTACTGTGCATATCTCCTTTCATCTAATCCTCATGACAAGTCTGTCAGGTAGGTATCATCAAGTCCATTTTAAAGATGAGGAATCAAAGGCTCAGCAAGGTCAAGTTGCTTCAAAGCCACACAGCTTGTGTGATTCCCACCCAAGATTTGGACTCAGGGCTATTAGTCTCCAAAGCTCATGCCCTTTCCACTGTACCACATTGCCTCTCTGGAGCTCTCGTTGGAGCTGCTTCCTGATGAATGAGCTACTTAAGGAGGGAGGAAGCTTCCTGTCCCTGGATGCATTAAAGAAGATGCTGGGTGTTGGTCAAAGGTGTATAGATGCTTGGTGGGAAGCAGGCGAAGGGGAGATTGGATGGTGCAACCTTTTCAGGCCCTTTGGGAAGAGTCTGTGATTTTCTAAAAGAAGCATAACTATTATTAAATAGTTCAGAGGTGCCAAGACAGCCAGGCTAGGCAACTTCAAACACTTTGAGAGAAAGTAGGTCCCAAGAATAGCCTTTTGTAGCTGCTGCATGGGGCCAGGAAAAGGCTGCAAGGTCTTCCTCGTGCCTTGTTTTAGTGCCAGAAAAGAAGCCTGTGGGAAACAGCTTCCGTCAACCCAGGCTCGTCTGATGTCTCACATCCTAGCTGTAGGGCTGTCCTTGGCCATCAGCATTCCTTGAGCCCAAAGGGCAGCATGGCCTGTGGTCCTCTATTCCTCACGTGGCTGCCCCAGCTCACCTGTGCTGACAAGGAAGAAGTGGGTCAGAGGAATGGCGCAGCCCCGTGTGAGACCTGTCCTGCTGCTGCCTAGTGCCTATGGAGGGGCTGCTCTACATGCCAGCTGGAACGAGCTGTGCAGCCCCTGGGCATCTGGACTTATTTGTCTCCAACTTTGCAAAGAAAAACCTGCTGTCAAAACTCCCGGGGACTAGGGCGAGAGGAGGCTGCTAATGAGCAAACCTGAACCAGATCTGCATCCTCCTTGGATGCTGAGTCCATTTGCTGCTCACACTGGACAAGTTTTAAAGCCCAGCCCTCAAGGGTCTGGAAATTGGATCCTGGGGAGACCAAGGAAGAGATGGACTAGGGGAAACTGGAGGAAGGGAGGGATATGGTAGAGATTTGCAGTGGCAGAATAGGTTGTAAGGTGGGGTCTCTGGAGCAGATTGTGTGGAATTGTCCTACAGGGAGAGAAGGGCCGAGGAGGGCTTTTGAGTTCTCTCCTGGGGCCACCCCCCTGGCTGCTGGGTGGTCAAGGTGGGTGTCTTTACCACAGCTGCCATAGTTGCAGCTTGGAGTTGCAGGACTCCAAGCCCTGGAAACGAGAAGGGGAAAGCTTGGTGATTTTAGGAGTTATACTTGAGCCCCTTTTGGATCTGCTAAATGGTCCTCAGCAGGGAGCACTGCACTGAGAATGCTGATTCATTGGCACACAATTTCTTGACTTATGCAACCCTGTGAAATCAGTATTATTATGCCTGTTTTATAAATGAGCAAACTGAAATTCAGAGAGGTTAAGAAACTTGTGCAAGTCCACACGGCTGGGAAATTCAAACCTAGCATGGTTCGGTCACTCAAACTTTGAGGGAGAGAGTGGGAGCTCTTACTCAGTGGATGTTTAAAACCAGTAACGGAGAGTGCTTGGTTTGGAGGGGCTTGGGGGTAATCCTTCCCCAACGCAGGGGGCTAGCTTCATGACCCTGGGGGCCTCTTCCAGCATTAGCAAGCTCCTATGGATGGAACACCTTTGGCCTAATGTGCTGGTGGCCACACTGCCCCCTTGTTAACATTAATGACTGAATTATTCTCTCAGTCAGTGCTCTGCACTGCCCTTGAGCCTAGCTTGTGATTTATTCTTCTCAATGACTAGGCCCTGGACTCCATCCTGTCATTGCTTTCCTGAATCCTCCCAGCCAGTGCTCCCAGCTTCACAGGGAGCAGGTGCTGCTGCAGTCAAGACAGCTGCCCAGGCACCAGCTTCTTCTCAACTCACCCTTCTCTCCTAAGAAAAGCTCCCTCTCCCTGCTTCCAGCCCAGAAAAAGCAGGCAGAGACGTGCATCCCTGACTCTACTGAAATGTTCACAGCATCTAGGTGCAGCCCAGAGAAGCTGAGGGCTTTCTATGCTGAGCTCATCAAACTCCCTTCCGTCTCCCCCACACCCCCAGTTCTTCCCTGTTGTCTCAGGAGCCATCAGCACCATGGAAAAGTTGGGGCGATTAGTCCATTCTTCCTCTCCCTCCCTGCAGCGCTGAGATTGCTACAAAATGTAGCTTCCATCTCATTAATCTCCCTCGCTCCCAGCGGAAGGTGCCTGCCTGGATCGCATTTCTGTACGTGGTCTGGGTGTAAAGTGGGTCTGGTGTCTCCCTTCCCCCTGCAGGAGCTGTCCTTGGTTCTGAAATGTTCGTCATCCTCATGCTCTACCTCTGGTTTGCCATCGGCCTGGCCTGCGCTGGCTTCTGCTGCCACCAGCTGCTGTTGATCCTCCGGGGACAGACCCGCCACCAGGTGCGAAAGGGGGTGGCTGTGCGGGCCCGGCCTTGGCGCAAGAACTTACAGGAGGTCTTCGGGAAGAGGTGGCTGCTGGGCCTGCTGGTCCCCATGTTCAATGTTGGAAGTGAGAGCGCCAAGCAGCGGGACAAGTAGCAGGCCCTCCCATCATCTCTCTTTCTCTCTGTGTCTTGATTCCTCCTGAACATAAGACCACACGACCTTGAATCCACCCATGACCCACTACAAGCTTGGGCTGGTAAGGTCCCAGCGTCCACCCCTGGTCTGTGACCCATAGAGAACTTCATTGGCTGGTGGATCATGACAAGGAGGAAAAATGGCCACCCAGGCATTGCTAGGTTTCCCACAAGCTAGACAGGTAGCTTCTAACTCTTAGGATGCCTCTGCTTTTATTTCTTATCTTTGGGGGTCCTGGCTTTTCCCCTCTGCCTGGCTCATCCACTCTCTAGTGAGTCTGATGTCATCACTGCTATCTGCTAGAACCCTTCCTCTCAGCCGCCATGCTGGGAGCAGGGAGTGGGCAGTGGATTCTTGCTGCTGGTAGGAGGCTCTCCTGGACCTTGAGGCTGGCAAAATGTATTTAGAATTGCCACGTGTGAAAGGCAGCCAAGTTACCCTTGCCAACTGCTAGGGAAGTTGGGAAGGGACAGGTGTGTCCTTGTCCTCTCTGGAACTGTGGGCAGTGAAGGGAAAGAGAACTCAGTAGCCTGCTGTCCTGCTCTCCCCAGCCAAGTTGCAGAGCCCTTGCTCTGGGAGATGGCAGCCAATAGCCTAGTATTTCTAGCTGCTGTTCCCCGTCCACCCTGCCTCAGCAGCCACCCCAGCCCAATTCAGAACCTGGCTGAATGCTTGCTTGCCTTGGCACTCTTCCAGCCTTTCTCCTTGGTCTCCAGCCTCCAGGTCTTTGCTGGGAAAGCAAAGAAGGAGAGAGAGGAAGAAGGGAGGTACAGATAAATGATGGAGGCATGTGACTGTATTACCATATAAAAGGAGAGGGAGTAGATGTGTGTGTCTGTGTGTGAGAGAGAGACAGACAGACAGAGCAAGAGGCAAATGGTGAGGAGCATTGTTATGGACACAGAGTAGAGAGGAGAGGGTCATGCAGAGGCTGGGATATTTGGGGAAAGAGAAGTGGGAGGGGCAAATGGATTCATTTCTACCTTGTATAAAGGACATTCTAATAGCTAACGTGGTTCAGTGTTGGAATGGCTGCCCGGGGAGGTAGCAAGAGCTCCGTGTCCACTGCTGGAGGTATCCCAGCAGAGACTGGGCAGTCATCTGCCAGACATGGCCTACAAGGGATTTCTGCACAGGGTCAGCCTAGACAAGCTTAGAGATCCTTCCCATCCTGAGATTCTGGCGACATCTTCACAATTCGAGGCCCAAAGACAAGATCTGCAGAGATGCCTGTGAGTTACTGTTTCGTGATGCAAACTTCCAGGACCCAACCTAGCCACTGAGGAGAGTCTCTGGGGAGACAGGACTACCTGGATGTTATTGGTAGTTAAGGGGGCTGGAATTTGGGGACAGGGTCAGATGGAGGCAGTAGTGGGGATAGAGAAGCCAGAAGGTCAAGGTCAACTCTGAGGGGAACATTGGGAGGGTTGAGGCTGGGGAATGGGGGAGACCAGAATATAGGGGTGCAGTTGCCAGACTATCCCTGCTCATCTGACTGGTTCTGGATGGGGCACTGCTGTGGGCTCTGGGTCTCAGAGGACCAGATGCCTGGGCTTTGAGGGAGTGGGGACAACACAAACACCCCCACCCTGACTGGCTCCCAAAGCTGGTCTGCCACCCTTGCAGGCAGCAGTGCTGAAGCCCACACCCCTGCAGTGTCCAGGCGATGGCCACAGCAACCCCAATGGTTGCACAACACCCTGAGTTCACAAGCAAAGCCTGGGATGACTTTAGCCCATCCTGCCTTCATGCCCTGTAGAGGGCTAATGTGGTAATGACTTGTCCTACCTATATTTCTCTCTCTCACAATATTTCATTCATTCATTCATCCACCCTGTTGTTATTGTGTACTGTTGAGTGGATTCTGACTCATAGCGACTCTTTACGACAGGGTAGAACTACCCCATAGAGTTTCTTAGGCTGTAATATTTACGGGAGCAAATCTCCAAGTCTTTTCTCCTGCAGAGTGGCTGGTGGGTTCAAACTGCCAACCTTTTGGTTAGCAGCCAAGCGCTTTACCTATTGCACCACCAGCGCTCATTTACTGAGTGCCAACTATGTGCCCAGTCCCTTCCAGGCACTGGTGATACAGTGGCAAACAAGAGGATGAGATCTATACCATCAAAGGCACCATGTTTGTCACAGCCTCCTGTGCACGGACTTCCATTGAACAATGGTCTCTCTGCCATCTTGACGGTCAGCAGGGAGGTCACTTGGAGGGAAAGGATGTGGCAGAGAGGGCTGAAAGGGAGCCCATGCTGCTGCTCAACAAGCCTTGATGGAGGAGTCATGGGGGGCTTCCCCACCCCAATTCTGGCCATACTTAATCACCCCACACCTGGAGTGGGAGGAGGAGGGCAAGGGGGAGGGGGAAAGGGCCCAGGGAATCCAAGCCTTTGCCCTCTCATGACCTCAGAGCTCAAGCTTGGAAGCCAGCCCTGCCATTCCCAGCCTCCTGGAGGCTTAGCTCTGTGAGGCCCAACATAAGGGAGGAGGGCAAAAGGGAGACCTGCAGGGGAGTCGGCTCCTGGCTGGTTGGTCAGTGGGGGGTGATGGTGGGAGGTTGCCGGGTGTGGGACTTGAATAGCATTTGTACACATGGCCCTGTATTGTTGATGAAGAATGTTAATAAAATATGTAGTTTTAAACTGGATTCGATGTGATCATATGGGCGCTGTGGTTGGTCTCAGGGCTGGTACTCGCAGGAATGCACTGATGCAGTCATACTGGTTGCTAAAATACTTAAAATAAGTATTAAAAATACTTCTGTCCCAGTTGGTAAATAACCATTGCCCAGATTCCCTAAGTGGCCCAACCCCCCTGCCCCAGCTGTGCCTGCTCCTCCCCTGGACCTCCTGACTCACCCCACAATCTAGCAACTAAGGGGGGTAACATCTGGCACCCTCATGGATCCCAGGACTCTGCTTCAACCCTTCAGCCAGGATTGGTCAGGGCCATGCCGTGTGGTTGGTTAGTGTTATGGATTGAATTGAGTCCCTCCAAAATGTGGGTCAACTTGGCTAGGCCATGATTCCCAGTATTGCGTGATTGTCCACCATTTTGTCATCTAATGTGATTTTCCTATGTGTTGTAAATCCTACCTCTGTGATGCTAATGAGACAGTTATGTTAATGAGGCAGGACTAATCTGCAAGACTAGGTTGTGTCTTAAATCAATCTCTTTTGAGATGTAAAAGAGAGAAGCGAGCAGAGAGACATGGAAACGTCATGCCACAAAGAAGGCAGTGTTAGGAGCAGAGCGCATCTTTTGGACCCAAGGTTCCTGCACTGACAAGCTCCTAGACCAGGGGAAGATTGATGACAAGGACCTTCCCCCGGAACCAACAGAGAGAGAGAGGCTTCCCCTGGAGCTGACACCCTGAATTCAGACTTCCAGTCTCCTAGACTGAGAGAGAATAAACCTCTGTTTGTTAAAGCCACCCACTTGTGGTAATTGTTATACCACCACTAGATAACCAAGACAGTAAGTATGTGAATGTCACCCGTGGTTGGTAGCAGTTCTGTGATGCTGGGATCTATGGACCCACAGGGACCAGGAATGGAGTGTCTAAATTGGCAACTTTTCTTTTCCTCCTCTTCCTCATTCTCCTCCTCCCGTTCCCTTCCCCATGTCAGAGGGCAGGTGGGGAAGAGAATGAAGAGGAGAGCCCATCTGCCCCTGCTTCCCAGCAAGAGCCCCTGCCTCTCAGCCCCTACAACATCTGAGACCTCAGAGGCCCAGACCTGAGGGCAGCCGAGGGGGTAGAGCCCGGAGGGGAGGAGTGGGCGTGACCTCTAATGCAGGCCTGGATTCACGGAGGGCACAACTGCAAAGTGCTGATTCTGTTTGGGCTGTGGAAGAACCTTAAGCCTAGGCCAGTGTTGTGATGGTCTGCATTCCCTGAACACACCCCAACAGGGAGCCACAGATGTGCTGGGGCAGCGGGATGAAAGGAGCTGTGGTTAATCTGCAGCACATTCCAGAGCGTGGGCTGCCCTCACCCCACAGGACAGACACCACACCCGGCTTGTACACCATTATATCCTCGATGCTTGCCTAGCAGGGGCTAGGCATATAGTAGGTGATCAATAAATATTGACTGAGTGAAGGCACAGATTTTGTGCTCATTTGCTCACTCCACACCTCTTATTCCCCTGATGTGCCAAGCGCTGTGCTCTGCACATTGTGAGGTTAGAGGATGGATGGACAACTCTGTCCTCCTGGTGTTCACAACCTAGGAGATGTTCCTTGAGACTGCACTAGGGGTGCTCAGAGAGGGGAAAGAGCACGTCTAGTGGCCAGGACCAGGGAGGTTCCATTTGTGCAGGGTCTGGAAGATGGATGGGATTTCAGCAGGTGGAGATGGCCAGGGAGGCTCTCCAGGTAGAGGGAACAAACCTGGAGCCTCAGGGTGATCATAGGGAACATAAAAGAGAGGCAGAGGGAGTTAAGGCTGAGAGATGGGACCTAAGCAGAGAGGGTCTTGAATGCCAAGCTAAGAAATCTAGATTTAATTTGGTAGGTGATCGGGAACCACTGAAGGAGTTTGAGCAAGGAAGTGATGTGATTAGAGCTAGATTTCAGACAGTGGAGCGTTGGAGGATAGACTGGAAGTGTTAGAAACTGGAGAGCTAAGAGGTGTTGGCTATGGTCTGAGTGAGACATAATGAGGGTCTGGGCAGGGATAGTGGCTGTGGGCTGGTAAGGAAGGGAAGGATGTCAGGGGTACTTCACAGACATGACCAGATGTGTGCCAGGGAGAGGACCCAAGACAATCTGGAAGGTTGAGGATGCACAAAACCTGTGCATTCATTCAGTCAATATTTATTGAGCACTTACTATGTGCCTAGGTGCCTCAAAAAACAGGCCATCAGGAGCACTGGGGTAGGGAGAAGATCACGACCCTTGGGTTCAGGCCACCAAAGCACTCGGCCCTATCATTAGCCCACTGGTTGGCAGTTGATGATGTCTTTCTTAACTAAACACTCTGCTTCTTAACTAAACACTCTGCAAACTTGCATGGAGGAAGGGGTTTGACCAATAGCTCAGGGGATATCTGCTAGTCATACTTTGCAGCACAACTCGCAGATTCCCAAAGCCAGGGTAAGAGCATCTGTTTGTGGCACTAGAGGTCATGCGTCTTCTGGCCTTCATGGGTCTTCTCCCCAGTCTTCAATATTCCCAACCAGAAAGGGGGCACTCTGCTTTGGCCCATGCCCTAGCATCAGATTGAACAAAGCATTAACTGCCTCACTCCAGAGTTCAGGAACCAAAGGAGCTTTGGGAAAAGGATAAACTTGAGGAGGCTAGAACCCATGTCTCCTTCTGCTGTA